CCCTGCGGGGAGCTGTTGGAGTTGTACCCGAGGGGCCAGAGCAGGGTGTGACAGCCCTGCTCAAACTTCCTCGTTGGTCCTCCCACCTGCATCTCCCCCCGGGTGTTGTGGTGCCTAAGTTGTGCACAAGCACCCTCGGGCTGAGCCGGACCGTCGGAGGGGCGATGGCTACGCAGCGTGTCGGTTACTGCGGGGGCGAGAGGAGGGTGAGAGGAGGGGTTCCTTTCCAACAGCCCCAGCTCCTCAACACACACGGCTCGCTTTTTGGCTGAAGTGGCAATTGCTCTCCTCTGACTCGGCGCGAAGCACTGCTCTGGTGTGGGTATTTCCTGCAGCTGAGAGCTCAGCCGAAGGACACACAGGGCAGCAGCTTCCGTGGGTAGACAGACATACATTTGAGTCCTCAAGGCGTTTCTCCTTACGTGAGAATCTTTCTGGTATACATTACAGAGGAAAGCCAAACCTACTGGACATGGGATCCCTGATGATCAAACCAGTGCAACGAGTGATGAAATATCCCCTGTTACTCTGTGAACTCCTGAATTCAACTCCCACTCATCACCCCGACCACGAGGTGCTGCAAGACGCTCTCCTTGCTATGAAAAACATTAATGTGAGCATCAATGAGCTGAAAAGGAGGAAAGATTTAGGTAAGAAAAAGGCATGGTAAGTTCTGTCTTTGTAGGTTTGGGCTGGCAACTGCAACAGAGGTTTAAACCCCGACATACCATGACAACAGTTTTGGCTGGTGCAGCCCAAGGTGTGTAATATGCTGGGTTTATAGAAGGTGACAGATACCTTAATGTCCCTTGTCCTCAGCCAGTTATGTTACCTGACTGGTAACTCCAGAGATTAGGAAGTGGTGAAAGAGTTCATGTTATATCCATGTCCGTTGTCTGTAGTGCAAACGCTGGTGGTAAGCAAGACACAGGAATAGCGGTATTTCTCACAGAATTGCCACGCTGAGGCCCTAACCTCACTCTTCCTGCAGCTAGCATCGATAACGGGGCTTCCAGCATCTCAGCTATGCTCACACAAGATTACAGCGAGTGACAGCACAGTGTCTGCTCTCAAAGGGTTTCCTACCTGTGTGCCCGGCCCTGCGAAGGGCCCTGTGAATACAGATTATTAGTGTCACGCAATTCTCTCGGCAGTGCTGAAGTATAAGAGGAACGATGATGATGAAACCCTTAAAGAAAAGTTTTCCCGACTGAATATCCACTCCATTAGCAAGAAATCCAAGAGGGTCACCAGCCACCTGAAGATACTGACGGGGGGAGAACCTCAGGTACTTACTCATCCAGCTGCAGATGTGCACTGACAGCTTCAGTCCTGCTTTTGCGCTGGGCTTTTTATAACAACGCGTTGGAAATGGTGTTTGTGGTGTTGCTTTTTTCCTGCACCGTCTAGGAGGTAATTTTCTGACTGTCCCAGAGGACGGGAAAGATCTTTGTGACTGAAACAGAAAATAACATGACGTCTTCTCCACCTTTTCCTTTTTTATCTAAGAGTTTCTCAAACTTCCCACCTCCGGCAGAGGAAGCGACTGGCAGTTTTGTGACACTCAGCCCGAGATCAGGGCTCTGTGGATGGCCTGGCAGTCGTCACTGTTGGTGCTGAGAATGTGCTCGGCCCGTCCTGCTCCGCGCGGTGCCGCTCAGGCTCTGAGACCACCGGGGCAGGAGCAAACCTGCGGGTTAGGAAAGGCCTGGGGTTTGCCTCTGCACGTCCAAGGCCCTGGAACCGTCAGAACTACCAGGGGCAAAGAACCCTGTGAGAAGTCTGACGGGTGTCAGGCACCCAAAAATAAAGTGCTCCTTCAAAATTTCAATGCAAAACCTAGCAGGATAAACGTTTTCAGGAAAGCCTCGATCTGAGGCTGAAAGAAAATCAATCACAAGTGACCTTGCAACGCTCTCCCGGGCGCCTCGCTGCCCGAGGCGGCCGCGTGCACGAGGCCTTTCTAGATGCAGCTTTACGAGACACGTGCTGGTTTTTCCTGTTTTATGAGTGGTTTTCCCCTGCCTCTGCCATGAACTACCCACATTTATTTTTTCCGTTCATTCATTTGTACAGCGGGAACTTTTGCATTCAGACTGGGACACCAGCGAGGCTGTAAAATCAGAGAGCAGGGAATTCAGTTTCATTAAGAGGAGGTGTGGGTTTTTTTAATTTAAACGCTTCTGTTTCATTTTTTTGGGGATATTTTAATTAAGCTTAAAACATGTTAGAACCATTTTAGAACCAGGATACATCTGTTAAAGATTCAGCCCTCTGTCCTGCTTAATCAGACTAAGGAAGTTCCCAGTTCACGTCTCTGAAACCCGCGGTGACCTGCAGCGCAGCCGCTGAAAGTGAGACCCAAGATGCCTCAGATTCCCCACATAAACGGCAGGCAGAAATAAAGGCATTGCAGGGTTTGCCGGGCAGCAGGGCAGAACAGCAGGGCAGCAGAGCAGGAGGGCAGCAGGGCAGCAGAGCAGGAGGGCAACAGGGCAGGAGAGCAAGAGAGCAGCAGAGCAGGAGAGCAAGAGAGCAGCAGAGCAGGAGAGCAAGAGAGCAGCAGAGCAGGAGAGCAAGAGAGCAGCAGAGCAGGAGAGCAAGAGAGCAGCAGAGCAGGAGAGCAAGAGAGCAGCAGAGCAGGAGAGCAAGAGAGCAGGGAGGGCAAGAGAGCAGCAGATCAGCAGAGCAGGAGAGCAGGAGGGCAGCAAGGCAGGCCTCTGCCCACTGCCAGAGTCCCAGCTGAAGAGCTGGCATTGCTCTAGTGGGCAGCCCCCCTTGCCGGGGGGAAGCTCCCACCACCCAGACAAGCACCCAGGGAAGGGATGCCCTGACTGAAAAACACCCTACATTTTCCCCACCGTCTTCTTAAATGGAGCACCAATATATGGGAAATGAGGTGTTTTACGGGCACACAAAGGTGTGCTTGGAATAAAGCAACTCCCTGTTTCCACAGGATTAAAAATTACATTCTGTAGCTCCTTGCCCCATGCCTTTGACTTTTCTTGATTGAAAGTGGAGCTTGGGAGAATTGGGGGCCCATCAGTTCTGTTTGTAAAGGGAGAAGTTTGGGAAGGCATGGGATTTTTCCTGCAGCACTCTGGATGTTTCTTTCACTGGCCAGGCTCTGCGGGCTGCCCAAATAACAGTGCAAACCTCTGTTGCAGGTGAAGGATCAAACTTTCAATGAGGCAGAAAAGTTGTTTCGAAGTTTAGAGAAGACGGTGAAACTGTGTGTGAAGAACATTGCTCTCTCCTCACAACATCTGCAGGTGGGTACCGGCCGTGTTGGAACCCCTGCCCACAAACCATGTCCACAACCAGCTTAACATCCTTCTGCACCGGTTAGGCAACACCGAATTATTCATAAGCAGGCTGTAAATATGAAATGGGTATGAAATAAATGAGTTGTGCTGCCACTGCAAAGACAGCTAGAAGCCCACACTTGTGCATGTGTCCCCTTGCATGAGCAGGCTCTGGGGAGACCCGTGGGTGCAGCGCAGGAAAGAAGGTGCTTTCAGTCACTGTGTGCAGCCGCCATGTGGGTCGTGCACATCTGCTGCCGTGGGACAACGACTGCTTCTCCCTAAAAGCGGAACTGAGCTGCGGCCATGTGAATTAAAATGGCCTAAAATCCATATTCTGGATGTGAAGACTCCCGCCGTTAAGCTATTGCTGAGGGCCAGCGTTACATGTGCTACAATCCTTCCCAACTGTCCCCTCCCACGGACAATTGTCCAACTTCGTAGGTGGCACGAGCCTGTCGAGGCGTTAGCGTGCCCAAACCAGACGCGGAGGTTGTGCGAGGGGCAGGTGAGGCCAAGGGCCGGCTGGCTGGAGCTTACCACAGACACACCTCGTTCGGGTCAGCAAAGCGGGGAGGCCAGGGAGCTCAGGGCTGTTGCCTGGAATGGCGTTGGCAGTTCCTGACCCAAACGGATGCACACTTCATTAAGATTAAAATCCGGAGTAGTGAAACACGGCGCTGTAGTCCTACTTAGCCCCCGAAACAGGCCTTGGAGGGTGCGTGGGTCCTCAGCTGGCTCCTCGCCGAGGAGTAGCTAACTTCCAGGGGGACACTCACGAGGCTGGGGCATAATTTTTTCAGCTGAACATTAACAACTTGATTCTTAAATAGTTTACATTGAAAATAGAGAAAACACGGGTAAATATTATCCCAGTAAGGAATCCCGCAATGGCTGGAAACCGCACAGGGAGGGCCCAGGTGTCCGATCCCGTCGGGATTACTGCAGTACCTGCATGAGTGCAGTGTATCCAACCGGATGGTTATCCAGCTCCACCTTCCCTTTTAGGAGTCCATCCGCCTGGCTGCACAGAGCATAGCTGGGCTGGGGGAAATCCTGCAAGACAGAGACGACCAAGTCAGCGGCTGTTCGGAAAAACGGACCAACGCTGCTCATCCCCATGAAGACCTTGTAAGTTTGTGCAGAGCCCAGTGTTAGCAGCCAGCTGTGTGTGTGACAAAACGGGTGTGGGAAAGGTGGATGGAGAAGAGCAAACAACCCTAGGAATCCAGTGGGAAAGATCAGTGGGGTTTTGAGCAGAGTTTCTGTAAGAAGTAAGAGAAAGTTAGTACCTGAAAGGGCCACAAGGAAGCTGGGGGGGGCTTTTCCCAAGGGCAGGGAGTGACAGGACAAGGGGTGACGGGTTTAAAGGAAAAGAGGGAGATGGAGATGGGCCATCAGGAAGGAATTCTTCCCGCAGAGGGTGGGAGCACTGGGACAGGTTGCCCAGAGAAGCTGTGGATGCCCCATCCCTGGGAGTGTCCAAGGCCAGGCTGGATGAGGCTTGGAGCAACCTGGGCTATGGAAGGTGTCCCTGCCCATGGCAGGGGGTGGGGCTGGATGGGCTTTAAGGTCCCTTCCAACCGTAACCATTCTGTGATTCTATGATAAATTCAGTGTCAGCACACTGTGTTTTCCCTAGAAGAGCCAAAGGAAACTTCTCAGGCTAAATTCCTGGGTGTAAACCACAATCTTTGTGCTCAATTTGCACGTTTCACCTGACCTTCAGCCAAGAGCAGCAGATCTCTGCTTTGCTACTTCTGTTACCCACACGGGCACAGATAGAGGGACTTTTGTGACGGTTCTTGTGCTCATGAACAATTCACCCCAGAATCACAGACCTGGGAAAATCTCAGTTTATTACCTTTTTGGGTAAGTTACAATCCTTCATGTAGGGAAGCCATGGCAAATCTGAACACAGCCCACAGGGCCTCAAAGCAATCAACAAGAAGTCATGGTTTTTCAACTAGGCTCTTGCTCTCAGGGCCCAAAAGAGCTCCAGTGCCTGGCTTTACCAAAACAGACTAAACGCCTCTTCAGATGGGGCAGGCTGCTTCTCCAAACCGCTGCTCAAGCTGCAAAAATTCAGGGAGGGAGGTTTTCTTACGCTTTCCTGGGTTTGTGCAGACTAAAATATAGCCACTCAGTCCTTTCCAAACCCCCGACAGCAGAGTCTGCCGAGAACAGAAGGGTATTTGATGGACCACATCCCCTCAGATCATGACAGGGAAGTAAGATGTTGTATTTCCCCTCCTTTGGAGTTCCTGCTGTTGAAAAGGATCTCAGAAATTAAATCTGAGCAATCAGAAAGATACTTTCAGTGCCTGCACGCAGCACAGCAGGGCACCGCTCTACTGCTGCAGGGTGAGCGTGTCCAGCACGGAACATGCCCCCACGTTCAGAAACAGCAACGAAAAGCAGAAGCAATTCCACAGTAGGTGGAACAGGAACATGAGCTGCTGTTGGCTCATGATCCAGCTGTTCTGAAGGTCTGTGTAACCTAAAAAAAGCATCTTAAGCTTGTTTTAGCTGTGGACGTTGTTATTAACCATGTTAATTCCTACTCATTATCCATTTGTTTCTGTGGCTGGTGTTTACAAGGGTGCCCTGTGCTATGTATAAGGTATTTTTGTCCTGACGTTGCGTGACGAGTAGGTGTTCTCACTGCACAACCCAGTGTCCTTCACCTCTTTTCCTGAAAGGCTTTTATCATGGCATATCTCAGATCGGGCTCAGGTGAATCTTCTTTTGTCCTTTGTGCATTTGTCAGTAACAAATACCTTCCTCATTAGAATTTAGGGGAGATTTTAGGGCAGAAATCCATAATGGCCGCTTCTCTTCCAG